CACTAAACGAGGCCTGACAGCTACATATTTTACAGGCTTTGTGTTGACTTTTTTTCAGTACAAAAAAATCCAACAAAATATTCAGAAGGAGCTGAAATACAGTTTTTAAATTAACTCTGAGATTAAAAGTATTTGTGAGGAACAACACATTCATCGTTCCTGTTATCTTTATAGCATTTTAACCCAAAGTATGCCTAAAGTTTACTGAAAATTGTTTCCATCTGATGCATTTGAATGTTTCCTCGCTGACACATCTGCTGGTGATATCTCTGATTAATGAGTCACAAACTCTGTTTTTAACACAGATCAAGTTTTTAATGCTTTTTAAAGCCGGTTTAATGAACTATTTATGTCTTGTATTACTCATTGTGATAGAGAAATGTTATAGATTTTCGTTATTTGAGTCATTTTTTGGTTTTCATAAAGAATTGTGTGTGAAAGTTGCTGTTTGACTCATCAAACGGCTTTTTAAACTCGGATCCATCATCTGAAGCACATCTCTCTCCTTTCATCTTTATAGTTCTTAAACTGATCAGCTGCTACTCGGCTCCCAGGAAGTAAAAGACAAAGACTCTCCAAACTAAATAAAACTGGAGGGTCTTTACCTTTGTCACAGTAGTGAGGTCTAGTTGGGGTTTTTTGTCCTATTTCCATGTGGTCTGGTCATTTCCTGTTTTATTTTGAAAGGTAATCCTCCCATTGTGTCAGGTCTCCTGCACTTCCCTGTGTGTCATGTGTTCGATTGTCTTCACTGATTGTGTTCCCCTGGAGTTTCTTGCCTTCTTATGTTAAATAGTCTGCTTCTCTCCTTGTCTTGTCCGCTGGGTTTCGTCTTCTGACCCAAACTGTGCGTTAACATTTTCCTTGAAAATCTTAGTCTTGAGCGGCACGGTGGTGTGGTGGTTAGCACTGTCGCCTCCCAGCAAGAGGGTTCTGGGTTCGAATCCCGGGGGAACCAGGACCAGAGGGTTCTGGGTCGGAGTCCCGGGGGAACCAGGACCAGAGGGTTCTGGGTTGGAGTCCCCGGGGGAACCAGGACCAGAGGGTTCTGGGTGGAGTCTGCATGTTCTCCTGTGTCTGTGGGTTCTCTCCGGGTTCTCCTGCATGTTAGGTTGATTGGAGATTGGGGAAATTGCGAATGTGAATGTGAGTGTGAGTGGTTGTTGGTCCTTGTGTGTCTCTGTGTGGCCCTGTGATGGACTGGCGGACTGTCCAGGGTGTACCCCGCCTCTTGCCCGTTGACCACTGGGATAGGCTCCAGTTCCCCCCGCGACCCCATCAGGGAATAAGCGGTATTGATAATGGATGGATGGATCTTTGTCTTGAATCTCCCTGTTTTAGCCTTTTATTGAGTGATTATTATTTTGTAATGTCGGCCTTTCCACTCCCAGTGAGTACGTCTTTATTTCTGTTAAAGTTTTTGATTACGATCTCCCCATCTGGGTCCTGCCTTGAGTCACCAGTTCTGACAACCTTTGAGCTGGTTTGAACGTTCAGGTGTGAAACCAGAAGCGGTTTCAGTTTTTACATCTCAGCCTCCAGCTTCCTCTTCTGTTTTTAATTTCCGGAGTAGCGGCAGCATCAACATCCTGAGTGAGAAAGCTGTGACGTTTAACAACTTAATTGGTTACAGTTCTTAAGCTCCACCCCCAAAATCCACCTCCACCCACCCCCTCCCTCCTGATGATTCCTCTGAGGCTGGCCTGTTGGGTCCATGTGTGCGGATGCTTCATATTTCCCATCCTCTCTGGTTCCCTCCAGCAGCTCCACATCAGAGCTTTAAATGTCCCAGAGGGACTTATGGCTGGACTTCTTTCTTCTGACTCTCCTCTGGACGGGCTCTCGTGTCAGAGCAGGTGAGTTTGGACCAGAACACAGAGCTAGAACCCCACAGAGAAATGACAGAGTGTTAGGGAAATCAATATATGTGTAATCCCTTTCTTAATTTCTCTCTGGTAACTTTCCACAAGTGAATATTTTAAAGGTTCTTTTTCTTTCTCATAGGACTCGTTCCTCCTTCTAGACTTAGACTTAGACTTAGACAGTACTTTATTGATCCCTTGGGAAGACTCCCTCAGGAAATTAAGGTTACCAGCAGCTTAAAGGTCTCAGAGAGAGTCTCCTTATGCTTTATCTCTGAATGTTATGGATGGAGGATTGTTTGGTACAGGTGCAGGTTACTCTATAATGGGAAACAGACTTTACCCCTCTTCTCAGACTCAGAGGGTATAAAATTAACCATGATTTTTTTTTTATTTTGGGGCAGTTTGGTGTCATATGAACCGCTTGTATGCTTTCACTTCATGAAGCTTTCCCTTTCCCTTTTTTCACTTTTAATACATTTCTTTTTCTTACTTCCTCAGATGGACTCAGACTTTTGCTTTAAAATAAAATTTCCACAACACAGAGCTAAAAAGAGAAATGAGATGTGTTCAAGGTCTGCAGGACAAACCGATTCATCCACTGATCTCAGCTCATTTTAATTCAAAGCAGAATGTAAAGTGTAAAAAGGATTTAAACCGAGAGATGTGTTTTACTGTCTGTAATCAGGATTTTTGATCATTTTTTGCAGTTTTTGGGGGGAAACTAGAGGAGGAGGAGCTGTTAAAGGACCGTTTAAACCGGTTGGATGGTGGTTGTTTGACTAAGAAGGGTTCATATCTTTTCACCAGCCGGGAGCTTTTTGTGTAAACAAATAATAAACAGACCTAGATCTGTTGGCTGATTATCTTTGTGTGTTCAGGTGGGCACACCTGGCTCTGTTTGGTTCCTGTTTTTGGCTTTAGATCAACATATTGGTTCATGTTCTCTTTTTTATTGTTGGCCTCTTCCCAGTTTCTATGGTTTCCAGTGTGTGTTCCTCTCTAAAGGGAACAAAGGTTGAAGATATCAAAAGTCATTTGCATAAAATTTTCATAAGCAAACTCTGTCTGAGCTGTGCTTCCTGTAACATCAGCAGGAAAAGGCTGAATCCATCATTTTATTCAATGTTTTGAATAATGTTTTGAATGATGTTTTCAGCTGATTATTCTGTATTTCAGCGTAAACGTGTCCCAGCATAATGAAAGTCTGTATGACTGCAGTTAAAGTTTGTCCATGTCTCCTCTTTATGGCTTTATGGGGTCAAAACTAAAATCCCACTATGTGAAATTTCATGTTTTCTGGCTGGAAAACCTCTGAAAACAACCCAGTGCTTATCGTGGTCTTTTCTCCATTTGGGCAAAGTTTAACTTTTTTGTAGAAGTTTTTCTCAGAAACCCAAAAAATGGAAGTAAGAGACACTTTATGAAATGAGTTTCACAACAGCCGTTTGTGGTCTAAGCTGGCAGGAAGCTAAACGCTGCGTGGCTTCCGGGCCCATAGATATCTACACATAGATGCCACATTGAGGTCTGAATCGTACATCAACATCGCCGCCATCTTGGATGTTGCAAAGTGGAGAGTGGGAGTCAGCGCTCATACAGTGAACCGTGTAAATCTCAGGGTTTGTTGTTGGCCAACTTCTCCAAAGGCTGATTGAAAGATTACATAAAATGAATATTAACATTTATCCACTGATCTTTATGTACAACCACTCACACTCACTGATGCTAACCGCCACCTGCTAGTCACTATATCACTACCTATTAGCCCAGTTCCTGCTAATGAATCACTACTAATTAGTATTGTTCATGTTAATATATCACCAGTAATTAGCATAGTTCATGCCAATATATCAGTATTAATTAGCATAGCTCATGCTAATATATCACTGCTAATTAGCATAGCACCTGCTTTTCAGTCTGTCATTCATACTGTAACATTCGTTTGTTCGTTGTGTGTCCAGTTGTTGGCTAACGCTAGCTGTGACATGGGCTAGTAACCATAGACATCTATACGTAGACGCCACATTGAGGTCTGAATCGAACGTCAACGTCGCCGCCATCTTGGATGTGGAAAAGTGGAGAATGGGAGTCATTAGCTGCTGCTCTTCAGGTTTCAGCCATGTCTGGTCCAGGGAGCCTGTTCAGGTCCACAGAACCCTCAGGCCTCCAGAGGGAAAATATGGCTCCCTCTGCTGGTCACTGGCATTTCCGCCCCTTTAAAATTTCCCTATGAATTCCTCTGGAGCCCTTCAGCCTGTGGTAGAGAGTTCGACTCCGGATCCAGAAGTTGCAGGTTCAAATCTTTCAAATTGTTCCTCCCTTCAGCCTTTTTTCTTCAACTTTTCTGCTTCCTCCATTCTTCTTCAACTCTTCAGTTCCATGTCTTTTTCAGCTTTTCTTTGGCTTCTTCTCCTTCTTCCTCCATTCAGCACTTGGCATTCTCACAGCTGCTCCGCAGGAACAGCCATATGCTAACTAGCATAGTTCCTGCTTTTCAGTCTGTCATTCATACTGTAACATTCGTTTGTTTATTGTGTGACGTTGTTAGCTAACGCAAGCTATGACATGGGCTAGTAACCATAGACATGTATATGTAGACGTTGCATTGAGGGCTGAATCGTACATCAACATCGCCGCCATCTTGGATGTTGCAAAGTGGAGAATGGGAGTCAGCGCTCAGACAGTGAACCGTGTAAATCTCAGGGTTTGTTGTTGGCCAACTTCTCCAAAGGCTGATTGAAAGATTACATAAAATGAATATTAACATTTGTCCACTGATCTTTATGTACAACCACTCACACTCACTGATGCTAACCGCCACCTGCTAGTCACTATATCACTACCAATTAGCATAGTTCATGCTAATATGTCAGTACTAATTAGCCCAGTTCCTGCTAATACATCACTACTAATCAGCACAGTTCCTGTCTTTTCAGTCTGTGATTCATACTGTAACACTCGTTTGTTCGTTGTGTGTCCAGTTGTTAGCTAACGCTAGCTACGACATAGGTTAGTAGAACAGAATCCTACGTCAACATCGCCGCCATCTTGGATGTGGCAAAGTGGAGAATGGGAGTCATTAGCTGCTGCTGCTCTTCAGGTTTCAGCCATGTCTGGTCCAGGGAGCCTGTTCAGGTCCACAGAACCCTCAGGCCTCCAGAGGGAGCCAGCTGCAAACAGGGAATGACTCCACTTCTTTTCTCTGTTTCAGATGATGAGCTGCTCTGCGTTTACGGTCACAGCTGCGTTTTCCCCTGCAGCTGCCGGGCCGCCGCCGACGTCGTCATCCACTGGATTAAAATCACATCTGGAGACCCATTAGTTCATTCGTTCTACAGTCAGCGGGACCAGCTGGGGAACCAGGCCCCGGCCTTCAGGGGCCGGACCTCCCTGTTCGGGGGGCAGATCCCCGGGGGGAACGCCTCCCTGCTGCTGGGGGGGGTCCGGGTCCAGGACGGGGGCCGGTACAGATGCCACTGCAGCACGGCCGGAGGAACCACCACCAGGACCCTCAGCGTCAGAGTGCACGGTACGACTCTTTAACAGCCTTCTGTGCACAGATTTAGCCCCTGCAGCCTCAAATATTTACCGGAGAGACAAATAACCCCATTCAGAGCAGATTTATTCATCACTGAGCAGCTTTTTTAGCTGTTATTTAAGCTCAAGCTCCCCAATTAAAAAGAGAAGTAGGTCAGAAGTAGGGTGACGGACGCCCTCCCAAAGTGTCTAAAGGACAGAAAACCCTCCAAAAATGAGAATAATGTTCACCAGAAAGACAGAAACCCCATTCAGATCAGATTTATTCATCACTGAGCAGCTTTTTTAGCTGTTGTTTAAGCTAAAACTCCCTAATTAAAAAGAGAAGAAAAAGGGTTAGGGGTTTGGGGTCAGAAGGAGGGTGATGGACGTCCTCCCAAAGTGGCTAAAGGACAGAAAAAAAAACAAAAGATGGATAGACGGAGGAAGTCCTCAAAGTCCTCCCTCCAGCCTCAGTTCCAGACATGCCAACAGAAGCTGGCTCAGAGTGTCTCAGAGTTTGGAAACAGCCCAGATTTAACCCCTGCAGCCCCAAATGTTCATCAGAGAGACAGAGAATCCCATCCAGAGCAGATTTATTCATCCCTGAGCAGCTTTCTCAGCTGTTTGCTGTTGTTTGTCCTCTTCTATAAAAAATGGGCTGGTTGGATGGAGGAAGTCCTCAAAGTGCTCCAGTCAACACCCCCCCCCCCCCTATTGGCGACTGATCAACAAACTTTTAGGTCGCCGAGCAGCTGATTAGGGGAAACTAACGAGCCAGACGCGCTAGATGTTCAAAACGCCAGTCCAAAGTCTTCGGGTTATTGCTTTATTTAATCTTCAGGTATCCAACATTAAAACACGTCACTGAATCAGTTCATAGGCATCCATAATCCAACAAGCGTTAATCCAGAGTTCACAGCAAATTTAATTAGATTATTTGTGAAGGCATAAGGCGTACAGCGTAAAGCGAAAAGCGTATAGCGGTTAGCAAAAAGTAGGCTTCCCCCATCACCCACTCATTACTAAACTGTCACCTTGCGAGTGAACAGGTGATATTTCAAATGCTACCGCCCCCAACTCCCTGGAGATCAATAAAGTATATTCATTCATAACACCACCTGACCAATTAGTGCACATCATTACTATGGCATGCAGAAACCCATTCTATCCACTACACCCCCCCCCCTCAATACCAATGCCTGAGCATCCTCTAACCGGTTAGACCTCCTCCTCATCACACCCCTCCATGGCTGCCCACTCAGGGCCTGAACAGTCCCAGAAGGTCATGATCCTCCTCCCGAGCTCATCCTTCCTCCTGAAAACAGACAAAGCTTTTGCTCCCTTTACGCTGACTCGTTGATTTGCTGACAAACATCAGCACAGCAAAGCTCAGGGAAGGTCATTTCTTCTCTCATTACACGGCAGATTCTTATCCTTGTGTGAAGGAATAGCTGGCGAGAGCAAAAAAAGGTATATTTACGGAAACTATACGCACCTGTTGGCCCATTTCCCTGATGTGTGACCTTTGACTTCCTGATTTCCTGTTTTGATGTGACCTTTGACCTCCTGATTTCCTGTTCTGGTGTGACCTTTGACCTCCTGATGTCCTGTTTTGATGTGACCTTTGAACTGCTGATTTCCTGTTTTGATGTGACCTTTGACCTCCTGATTTCCTGTTCTGATATGACCTTTGACCTCCTGATTTCCTGTTCTTATGTGAACTTTGACCTCCAGATTTCCTGTTCTGATGTGACCTTTGACCTCCCGATTTCTTGTTTTGATGGAGGACGCTGCATCTCTGCGTCTCTATACCAGGATCCTTCTGTTTTCTTTGACCTTTGACCTCTTGGCCGCAAAAGGGGACGTTTACAGAAACTAAAGGCACCATCTGGCCCATTTCCCTGTTGTTATTGCCGGTAATAATGAATAGATCAGAGATGCTGCAGTTTTGGGACCATTATGTTTATGTTTATGTTTATGTTTATGCATTTGGCAGACGCTTTTATCCAAAGCGACTTACAGAGTAGACACAATATTACATTTCTCATCACTATGACAATAAGCTATATAGAGGAGAAACACTGATCAGAGTCAGTGGTGACAGCAAGAGATAGAGGTAGAGGGACCGAAGAAGGAGTTGTGGGGGGGGTATTGGTACGGGTTAGGGTTAGGGTTAGGATAGGATTAGATTTCATTTGTCACAGCTTGTTGATCTCTGTTTTGTGTGCAGCTCCAGTGAAAGCAGTCCGCGTCCACCGGGAGGGAAACAGCATCACCTGCAGCTCCAGCTGGATCTACCCTGAACCTGAGCTCCTCTGGGCCAGCAGCCCCCCCCTCCCCACCCCATCCAGCAGCCCCCCCCTCCAGACCCCATCCAGCAGCCCCCCCCTCCAGATCCCATCCAGCAGCAGCCACCTGAACCAAACCAGAGTCCAGCGGACGCAGCAGCAGCTGTACAACATCAGCAGCTCTCTGCTGCTGCCGGAGGGAGAAGCTGACGGGAGCTACAGCTGCACCGTCAGCACCGCCTCCAGCAGCCGCACGGCCACTCTGAGGAGACTCAGTGGGTTTGAGTTTGAGATGTTTGAGCCTGGTTTGGGTCAAACGGATTCATCCAGAACCTGGTTCCTGCCTCTGAGGAGACTCAGTGGGTTTGATTCCGGATCTGAAAATGTAGATTCCCTTTCTGACAGACAGAAACGAGGCAGGAGGGACAGACAAGTCAAGCCTATTACTATCCAAAATACTTATCCCGTCACTTCTTATAGTTCTCCCGTTTCCGTTAGATTTTCAGCGCATAACTCGTCGCGCACGGTTCCGCGTATCGGGCCCAAAAGCGGAACACGTGTCCGTCTCGACCACGGGATGCGTGCTTGTAAAAATCTTTCTCATTAGTCCCGGCGTTTCCGAGTAAACGGCAAAAAAATCTTCAAAATTTGGCCCATAGGAATGAATGGGAGACCCTAGAAACGGGCCCCAAAAAAGCAGATCTCTCAGGGCCGCAGCCGTAGCCTAATGGCTAGAGCGGGCGGCCCATATACAGAGCCTGTGCTCGTAAGCGGGTGGCCGTGGGTTCGAATCCGGCCCAAGGCCCTTTCCCGCAGGTCTCCCCCTCTCTATCTCTGCCCCCTTTCCTGTCAACCTACTGTCATTAAAGGCCACTAGAGCCAAAAAAATCTAAAAATAAAAATAAAAAAAAAATGCAGATCTCGGCCCCACGACGTCCGAGAGACCTCGTTTGAACGTTGAACGGGTCACGAAAGACGGGCCTCCGCCATATCAGAGCCACGAGGCCAGATCTTACACCGTTTTCCCGAAATCGCTGTTGACGTTTTAGTGAAAATCACAAATCCCAGAATCTGCCCCTCACTCTCTGAGAGGCCTGTGCGCGTGTTCACTGAAAAAAAGTCAAACTCCGGCCTCTAGCGACCGAATCGTGGGGCCGAGCGGCGCCAAAATGGCTTCGAAACGTAGCCGCGGGCGTCCTCTTTCGGACGATGTTCCCGCTTTTGACGTCGGCCTTATGGTTTTCCGGCAATCGGGCCCAGAGTTCAGACTTTCACGACCCTCTCCAATATGATTTCAATGGAAGAATTCAAAGAAAGTCGGACCAACTGCCAAATCGGACCTCATTTTGAAACTAACCGGTGGGAGCAGCCCATTATAAAACACTCTGGCTGAGAGCTGCGACCCTTGTGGCGCTCACGGTCCAAGAATTATTAAGCTCTGTCATATAGTTTTTGAACAGCGGGCAGGAGTTCGGGGTCAACTTTTGATCCAAACTGACGGTTGGCTGTGTCATGGATGCCTCTTTGTGATGAGTCACACCTGTGCAGTTTGTAATGTTGTGGGGAGAGTGCCGTTGTGATGGCGATCAGCAGAGCTCTGCTGAGCTGTGGAGCTGATGGATACATTGGTTCTGGTACCAGGCGGGCGAAGCCTGCTTAGAGTTAGTTAGAACCTGGTTTGGTACCGCAACCAGACCGAGCCGGGGGCCGGACCCAGCCATGTCATACCTCGTTGCGTAGGTCTTTTTCTCAGCTTTCAGCCAACGTGACCCCCGACCTGCTCAAACCAATTGCATCTGGTCAGCGGGCCCCAGAGCTCAGCCGGTCCCTCCAGCTCTGCGTCTCTCCTTCAAGCCCTCTCATAGGCGCAAGGTGGCCCCCCTCAAAATTTCTTTAGAAATTTTCTAGTTAAAGATGAGAACCTTTGAGATGTTTGATGTGTTTGAGATGTTTGAGATGTTTTAGATGTCTGAGATGTTTGAGATGTTTGAGAAGTTTGAGAAGTTTTCCTGCTTCTGCACAGCCTGGTTTGTGTTAAACGGATCCATCCAGAACCTGGTTCCTGCCTCTGAGGAGCCTCAGTGGGTTTGATTGAGGATCTGAAACTGCTGATTCCCTCTCTGACAGACAGAAACGAGGGAGGAGGGACAAAACAAAAGTCATTTAAGATGAGGCCCTGTAGATCAGAGAGCCTCAGAGGTGTTGTCTTGTGTTTTCTTTCAGCTCAAAGTTTCTCCATGAACTCCATCACCACCCTCAGCTGCTCGGCCTCCAACTCGTCTGGCCGGAGCCTCGTGTGGAGGTTCAACCACAGCCAGAGCATCCTGAGCAGAGCCGGTCCTGATGCTGAGCCCGCGGTGTCAGAGGGGTGGAGGCCGCATGTGGGGGGGCTGTCAGAGTCCGGCAGCCTCACCCTGAAAGACCTGTCCGAGCACCAGGAGGGAGAATACACATGTGAGCTCAGCGGGTCCCAGGAGACCACGCTGACCACCACCTACCTGAGAGTGGAGGGGCCAACAGGTGGGTCACTTTTTCAATTGTTTTTCTGTCTCCACTCTATTGCATTATCATGTCCAAGTTGTAATTTGCCAGTTTGGGGAGTTTTATGGACTCAATGGAGTCAAACAAAGGCAGCTCCACTTTTTTTCTCGTCTCATAAAACTTGAAATTGTCCTTTTCCCTTATTTGTTTGAATTTTACTTCCTCTCCTGTTATCATTGTTACATTTTTCATGATTTTCTGTCCCCATCTGTTGGATTTTCATGTTCATGTTGTAATCTGCCAGTTTCTGTCCAGCAGAGGAAGTAAAATCCAAAGGTTTTGACTGTTTGATGGCGTTTTTAATCTGTGCGGGGGGGTGGGGGGTGGGGGGAGAAAGGGCTTTACAGAGTCTCTAAACAGCACTTCTGCAGCTGGTTCTGTCGTTTATCTCATTTTCAGACCAGATTTGAGTCATCTAGGCAGAAAAAAGCCCCCTAACTCAAGGAATTGTGATAAAGCATTGTGATACACCTTTAATATCTTTATTTTTTCCCTCAAAGCAGCCAGATGTCCTTTAAAGTGTTCTTCTTTCACTTAAGAAGGATTTCTGAGCTCTTCAGGGTTTTTGTGTGGATATTTTTTACATTTTCTGTAATTTTTGGTCCAGTTTTTCTTTGAAAAGCCACTTAACTCTGAGCCCTTAACTAAAGGGCTGAGCCAGCGTCTGCAGCTTAAAGTGGATCTTCAGGCTCTTTGTCACAGAGACTCCTCATCTGTTCCATTTCTGGAGCTGATGGAGGAAAAAGGCCAAAGAAGAATCCAAGTTTTTCTGTCCCCATCTGTTGGATTATCATGTCCGTTTTTGGTGTTTTGGGGTTTATAAAAGACAGAAAAAGACCTTTTGGATCTTCTGCATTTGGCTCTCCGCTGTCTGTCTGAGGGTCAGTTTCTCTGTAGATCAGGACAGAATGATGAATATAACCTAGCAGAGGAAGTAAAATCCAAAGGTTTTGACTGGTTTGATGCTGTTTTTAATCTGTATGATGTTTACCTGTAAACTGAGTGGTCAGCAAGCAGGAGTTCTGAGGATTCCCAAAGAGCTGCTGCTGGAAACTGGAAAGATCTCAGCTGGTGAGCAGAGAGTCTTTAATGTTTTTTCTTCTTCCTTTATAGAAGGACGAAGTCGTGTTGGGCTCATCATTGGTTCCTCCGTTGTTTTCGTTGCTGTCCTTCTAGCATTGGTGGTGAAAAACTTCGAAAAAAAATAAAGGTAAAACAGTAACTTGTTCTTTTTCTACAGTATTTAATGTTAACCAGTGATGATTCTTCCTGTTTAACTCTTTTGTT